GGATATTACACTGCAAAAGAAGAAAAGCAATGCAGTACGAGTTTTGTAGCAGCAGGTACTTTGGCTCCGAAAGGAATACCTAAATGGCTTGTTACATGAGGGGTAAGAGAGCCCATGCCTCTGTAAAATACATGCCATTGCTGAGTTTTTTTGCTTGGCAATGCTGCGGCTGCTTTCCTCGCTGTTATGATTTATGTAACTACTATTCTATATTCTGTGAGCTAGTACCTCGCTGAAAGACGAAAGTCTGGATCTGCAGTGTTACAGCCTCCAGGAGCAAATTGCTCCTGCTGATAATCAGCTCCAAATCCATTTCTGATTGTCTTGTACACAAGCTCCTCTGCTGCTTTATGTTGCTCTGATAGTTTTCCAGCTTTTGGACTGAAGTCAGTAGTGCGAGATAGAAGGGAAAGAAGAAGCATCTCTGTTTGCCTGAGATGACTCAGACATTTCATTCAATCAATTTAAATACTAGTTTTCATGTTTTCATTTAGGGAACACACATCAGCAGCTAATTTTGGATGACCTCCTGGGAACCCGACTTTCAACTTCAGAATGAAACATCATTGCTCCTATCACAGAAAAAGTCCAAGCAAAGTTACTGTCACCGGCACTGCAGTCACTGTGGTTGAACACAGCCCTCAGCTCCTGCACGGGGAGAGATGAACCTGCCATGGGGCTCCCCCTATACCACAGGGTGTCTGAACTGTCCGCCTGGCCCCAAATGCTCTCCTTCATCCTCCCTAGAGCTTCCACTAGATTGCTACTGATTTATTTCGGTTAGAGTGTGTATGTGATTACTTGGGCTTTGGGTTTAAATAATTCTGACTGCTATTTTATGGGAAAGTCTTTCCGCTAGTTCTTTCATAAAATATTAGCTTTAAAAGATTAAATTTGTTTAATACCTTGCATGTTAATTATGAAATGATGATGATTTCCAAAGCACAGCAGACAGTCATAAGCATAAATTTTCCAAGTGGTGCTGCAATACTACCCACAGATAATTAATCCCAGTCATATTAACAATAATTAACTGAAAGTGTTAGTAAAATTGATACTTTCAATCACTAGCAAAGGAATAAATTCCGTATTAGAGGTGAAATAATGACATTGTTTTGCTTTTCTTTCTAACTTTTCATAAGAGTTCAATGAAATATTGTTTTAAAACAGGTACTGAGATTTACCTGTGAGCTAGGAACTATAATCCCAGAGGTGGCAGATGTGGATTATAAGAACCAGACAGGCATCCAGTCCCATACCTAGGAGATGTGGTTGCCTGGTGTATCCAGAAGTGTCTGTTCTCCACTGAGATTAATGATAGGTGGATACTTGCTACAATATTATTTACATGAGAAAAGTACTTTTCAGAGTGTTTGTATAGCTTTGAGTATAATAGGATCCTAATCTTCACTGATATCTCTAGTCACAGAAGAAATAAATGGAAGTATTTGATCAAGAATGCTTACATGCTTGCAAGGCTCAAGTATTAACCAGAACTTAATGATTATGTCATATTTTGGTTTAACAGTTGTTTAAAATAAATACAACTTGGATGTAACTGAAGCTGGAAGTGCTGTGAGTTAAGTAGGGATATTTCAATTTAGAAAACTTTCAAGAAGCTTTAATAAATTTTAGGGTGCACAAAATATTTCTTTGTTTCTAATCTTATATGAATAGCAACTGTCCTGTTTGTAATTACAGTACTGAAGGTTTTTGAATTGCCCTTTTTTTGTCCTCTAACACTTGAATACAGCCTTCATCCCTTTTTGTTTTTGATGTTATAACATAAGAAAATTGTCTGAAAGATTGCTGTGTTTTAAGGCACTTTCTGAAGTGCTGCTAGTTTTAAAAAAATCATTTTATAGAAATGACAGCTTGATGTTCTATGTATATCACTTCCATCACCACTGTGTCAGCCTGAATCAGTTTATTTACCAACACAGCTACAAGGATTTTTTATTTTGTAGCCTGCAAGGTCAAGCATAGTAGTGAAAGAGAAGCTGTGGTGCAGCACCCTCCTTTTTCCTTTGAATTAGTGAGAATAAACTTTTTTCAATGCAGTTCGCACTCTTTCTCCATGCTTTCCGGTAGCATGAAAAGGCAGCCTTCTCTCAGACTGAGGTAGTCAACATAGAGACAATTATCCCACTGCTCCATGACTGCTGGGCTGGTGGCTCAACTTATTGCCTCTGAGCCATTTTTACGAATTCGGTGTGACACCAAAGAGAATGCTCTATGTTACTTTGATTAACCAAAAGTTTGAAAGTGTCTCTAAACAGTAAATAGGGAAGCAGACTAAGACGCAGAGGGTTTGGCTGTGTCCATTACTCGATGTGATGTGACTGCCCCTGTCTAATATGGCATCTATAAAATGAAGTTCTATCATTTGCGGTTTCTGAAAACAAAGCTGATTTGTAAAAGTTGTGATTAAATGTAATAAAACTTTAGCCAAATATTCTGTGTAACAGACTGAAACAAATAACCTTCATTAGTTAATCGACTGTAAAGAAAATGACATTGATAAACAGCTAGTGGATGGAAAGTTTGACTTTGTCTCATCAATTGGTCAGACCTTTGCCTGATTATAGACACTCAAAGTGCAATTTGCTAAGCCCTTAAGAGTTCAAATGAGACTTGAATAATTTAGTGTTTTGCAAGATTAGTTATTTAGTGCTTAATATGTCTTGAGATTGTATTGTTAGTCATCCAACAAGGAGTGTAATTTTCATACTTGTTCTATACTCTTCAAATTGTGAATTGTGATATAAACTCCGTTCATAGCTCAGTAGAACAGCTCTGAACTGCTGCATAGATTGTAATTGCAATCTGTGCTAAATGAATGCCCATTAGCAGCACTCTTAGACTGTTCTCATTTTTCTCCTTCATATTAATAAGAGGTTAAATTTACTGCAGTCTGCATATTACATTTTACTATCCATGGATAGCATAGTTAAGAAAATTGTTTTGTTCTCTGTAAGTTTTTTCACATTTTTCCTTGTTATTTAGGCATTGTAAGAACTAGAATTGAACATAGCAGAAATGAAATTATGCACAAAACAAGACTTCTCTCAGATAGGAGTCATATACTGTTGGACTAATTGCTCTTTTGTTAGAGCTTATGTTTCTAAAATATTGAACGTTTGGAAGTATCTGTATTCATTCACTTAAAAGAACAAGGATTTTATGTGGATACTTGTTTTGCATCAAAACTTAATTACTAGGAAAATGAAATAGCTGTTTTCCTCAAGAATTTTTCTCTGAAGCAGCATCCAAAATAGACGCATGAGGATGCAACAGAGTTTGAATATTAGTTCCTCTAGCTAGATCTTCTGTGCAGATTAAAGGACCGACTTAGGTATCATGGACATGAAGTCCAAAACTGTTTGCCAACAGAAATTTGTTTGCTGGCAGCAAGTTTTCAGAATGTGCCTTCTGAGTACCCTGGAACTGCACGTTTTACCTTGAAAGCTCCTGAGACACCTGAGAGGTAAAGGGGTTTCATTTCTTTCTCATTCACACTGCTCCTCCAAGTCCTCCCACCCTTCTTAGGTCATGTTTTAGGGCTGTCTGGTCTCTCTTGTCGCTCCCTCTGGTGTCTCTCTAGCTGATCCACAGCCACCTTGACCTGCAGCACCTGCTACTCTGGAAGAGGTCTCACCGCCACCGAGAAGCTGATGATTCTGCACCTCACAGCCCACAAGAATTAATTGTTTATGCTCTGGGAACTTGGAAAAATTCTGCTGCCATTCATGTATTTTTGTTTTAAAGAACTACATCTAAGACCAAACTAATTCTGTGAACCAACATCAGATCATTTAAGAACTGATGTTGTTTAGCAATCGAGGTATAGTATAACCAAAATATAACTATTAATGGTAAACAAGCAAGAGAAGGAAGTGGATATATTCATGCAAAACATTATTTTCTTTCCTGCATAATTTCCTACTTACGAAGCTAGCAGAAATGAAGGATAATTTGACTTATTAATATAATGAAGATCAATGCAATCTCTGAACACAAGGTTGAAAGAACAACATAATTATCCTTCATTTGTTGATGCAAGGAATAGACTGATTTCAATTAGTGTTTTAAATTGGGAAGGCGCTGAAGAGAAGTCGGTAACTTTCCTTGTAGCCGAAATTCATTCAGTATGATCCTTTTTCTTGCTCATCACTTTAGACAACATCAGTTACTGTAATGGGTAACAGTAGTGTGTCAATGATTAATGTGTTAAACACACTCAGTGTAATACAGAAAAATTGCAGAACAGCAGATGGTAACATTTGGATCCCTCCAAAAGCATAAACATTAATTTCTTCCTGGAGCACCCCATAAGAGGATTCAGGGCTTTTTTGGGGGGGGGGGGGGGGGAGGAGGAAAGTAGTGTCTTGGACTCAAGTGGAAGCTGCTAAAGAGCAGCATATTGAAAGCAGATGTCTTCTTAATTTCTTCTTTTGTCTTGCCAAAAAGTCCTATCTGCTGCTGACTATCCAAAAATGCTAAATGAGTACTGCTGTGCCAAGCAGGTGGGCTCTGGGTCTGCCATTCTTCCAGCCACCCGCCAGCTTTTTCCTTGATATGGGCTGCATTGGTCGGCTCCTAAAGGAGAGAGCCTACAGCAGAAAGCTGGAAAAGAAACTTCTGTCCCTTACTCTTTGCCTTTTAGTTAACTTTCAATGTTAACATTTTTCTGTTGACAAAAATTAGCTCCTGCACATCATCCCTTGCAATAGCTGGTACTGGATGGGTTTCCCATTACATTTGGCAACCCTGCTGACTTGCCAGATTCCATGCTCACTTGCTCTTTTCGTCCTGACATGTTTGCATAATAAAAAGTACTCTTGCAAAGGGTGGAAGATCGATACCTGGGCACCTCTAGTGTAAAGGACTGGTTCTCAGTTCTTCAGCTTCTGGGAGGCAGATTCTCTGTTTTGGGATCTGTGCTATGGCTACCCAGGGGATTGAATCAAGTTTGTTTGATTTTTCTTCCTGTTTTCCCTGCAGGAACCAGGAAACTCAAGGTGATAGAAGCCGAAAGGAAAGAGGAGCTCTGACTCATTCACTGCACTGATCAAGATACAGCAGGAGACACCATCTTCTTCCCAAGTATCATTATTTACTATCTCTTGTAACAAGCTTTTTTAAGAAATATGAAGATTTAGCAAGGCCTTGGCCATGAAAAAGAGAATTAAACTCACGTAGACTTCTGTATTCCAATCTTTACAATGTTGTGAATACTGTTTGTATGTCTGTAAATGTTTATCTCTTTCTGTTTAATTTTTCTCCTGAGGAAAAATTGAGTGCTCCGGTGTTTTTCAGAACAATTCACTAATGTCTTTCCTGCTACTTATGTTTTATTTCTTTCTCATTGGTTTGACAAGTATGGAAATGTAGCACTGATCGCTGACCTTACCTCTACCCATCCATTTAAAATCTGTCCAAGGGTACATTAACTGAAAGTAACAAAATTAATGCTGTTAATTTTTATAATCTTAGCCTAGTCCAAATGTTGTTAATTACCCTTATTATTTTGTCTTTTTCTGCTTAATTGATTGTAACTGAAAGGCATGCTCTATCCTATCTACAGTCTTTTCTAACTCATCTTTAGTGGTCAAAGAGAGATTAGTCATATTTCAAGTTGATTTGGGACATTGATTTGGGTTGCAGTCTTTCATGATGAAATAAGTACCTTGCTACTCTTATTGGATCTTGCCACTCCTACAAGGAACTTGTGTATTTATATTCTTAAATGCATTCATCATTTGTGCTTTAATGATTTCTTCTCTGTTTTCTCCTACTAATTTTCATTAATTGTGTTCAAATCCAAGACTGAATCATGAGAAACTTTCTTCTGTTAGCAGAGTCCCTCTGTACTATATACAGCAGTACTGCTCCTTAATCCGACATTGAAAGTGCTACCTGCGTATGGGATTTCTTCTTCTGGACAACACTCTTCATCTTGCAAAACTGACAAGCTCATTTTGTTTAATTTTTCCATAGTCTGATCAAAGCTACTTTTTAATGTTTTCTTGGTACATTAGCACTATGAAATTGCTTCTAACAGTATCAGCCAATTAGCAACTCTTTAATCTGCTATATTGTTTGTCAAGGCGGTGTGACAGAATGACAGGCTACCATACTAATTAGCTGGCTTCTGCATAAGTAGAAAATTGCTCTTGTTTGACAAATATTTTAAGTTAAAGAAGTAAGGACCTGGAAGTCTGGAAATAAACTTAGTCATGCAAGGATACATCAAAGAGAACTGCATGGCTCAGGTAATTTGTAATGGGAGGGAGAACCTTTCACCTTTTTGTAATAAATCAGAAAACTTATTGAGTGGAAGGGATGAAATAACTTTTAAAAGCCTTAAATGAGCATAGGGTTCAAAGTATCGGTTCATGAACCTTATTTTTTACTAGCAGAAGTTGGGCTTACATAGGTTGCTGATGTTTATTTAGTTTGAAAAGCTGCTAACCTGCATGTGTGCACCTGGCCTCCCTTGCCACCCATTTGAGAAAGTACTATTTTTCTCAAAACTCTGTGCCTACATGTCTGAAAAGAATAAAGGCTCAGGAGCATCAAGAAGGGAGAGGCGAGCTACAGAATTTCCCTCTCAACGTGTTCTTCAAAGCTTCAAATAAACCAAAGTCAGCTCTAGCCAGCAATGGCCAGTGTTGCATGGAGACGGCTTTGTTCAGGCAGCGGATCTACTCCTAGCCTGAGGTCTGCAGCGGTTCCATGGAAGATCCTTGCACTGTTCATTTCAGTGAATCACGGGGGGGTGAGGCTCATCTTTTCAAACTCTACCTCGGCCTCTGCTCTGGATGCAGGTAAAGAAGGAATTTTTGCAGTTGATTGGGAAGGATGCATTACCAAGGACTTTGCAAGCAGAGTATCAAGGAAGTAGAATTTTAACTGTAAGACAATTTATGCCCTACAACAATACTTCTTCCTGAGCTCAGGGAAAGATCTGAACTTGTCTCTCACTGCTGACTTTGCAGCAGCTGATCATCCTGCTGTGTTGAGCAGACCTCCTACAATGCAAAGGGGTATAAGACAAAACTGTACCCATGGCTTTTTGATGCAGCCACAGTAGGATTTTGCCTACCTTACGTTAGTAAGTTTCTTCCTATCCAAATCAGACCCACCAAGGACTTAATAAAAGTTTCCCAAGGCAGTAGAAGGGGAAATTTTGCATTGTTTTACAGTACCCACCATACACAAATTATTTATATATATATATATATATATATGTAAAACTTTTTAAGCAGACGGTTGGCTTCCTGCATCACTGGGAGACAGTAACTCAGTCTGTAAGAAGGCAATGCCAAATGAGTTGAGTGACAAGAACTGGAAAGCAAAAGATGATTTATGATATTTGTTTGTGAATCAAATGACTTTTGTCATCTTTTTGAGGCAAAATGCGGCAAATTCAAAGGTGTTGATCTCTGGTGTTTTCAGTTATTTTCAAACCTTAGATCCCTAGTAAAAAATTAGAATGAAATCAATCAAAATGGTAGAAACAGTCACTAAAAATCTTGCAAAGTAAATTGAGTAATTTTCAAACTTTATCCACTGCCACCACATATTTAATATTTGGAATAAAAACATTGCTAACTGGCCTAATTATGATTAGAAGTGCCTGGTGAAAAAGGAATTCATTTTTAACTTTGTACTCTTGTGAGAGTGCAGCTGAAATGCTGCATTCTCAGCTGAGCCCTTTCAGGGCTGGAAGGATTTGGGAAAGCCAGAAGGTATTCACAGAAGAGCAACAAAAATGATTTAGGGACTAGAGAGATTGATGACTTGATGTGCGAAGAAATATTAAGGGAGCTAAATATGTACAGCTTGCCCATCTAAATGATAGATACAAAAAATGCAAGGAACTTTCTTGAATTGATGATTGATTAGGTGAAATGAATGAAGTGGATGAAAAGAATGATTACCTGCTGGGTTGTAGGAACAGTGATTCTGGATTGCATCAGCAGTATGGGACCAGTATCTCATCTTTGGCAGTGGGGGGGAGCTGATGCTCATGGAGAAAAGAAAAAAAAAAAAAAAGGCAAAGAAATCTCAATTGGGTAATTATAGGTTCATCTGCTTAAGGAAAAAAGTTTATGGTCATCTTAACTACATGAAGAGAATGGATGGGAAGGTGAAAATACTTAGGTCAAAAATAACTCTTACTGAGTCCTTAAAGAATTAATGAACAGAGGTACTCTGAAAATATTACTCTTAAAACCTCTGTATTTTTTATATTATACTGGTAAATGAAATCATAAAAGACCTGATTGCTTGTATGACCACTAAATCCTTAGTTAAATCACCAGAATTGTGGAGCACAGATCTATCTAATGGGGATTTTTCAATTTTCTCCTTTATGATTCTGTGTATACAGTTAGAACATATTTGGGATAGCAGCTCCTGAAAATTTGCTGTAAAATAGTTCAGTAGACACACAATAAGATTCCAAAGCAAACCATAACCTTAGCCCAGCATTGGCTGAGATTGCCTCTGAATGTATTTCAGATGCCAAACTTTCAGCTTCTTTGTGGGCTGTTGTTAAATTGTGACATTTGGATCCTTTGATGTTAGTGTCAAAAATCCCAGTGATTTCAGTGAGGACTGCATTTCACATAAAATGAACGAGAAGTTGCCCAAATGAAAAATAAAATAGAAATCCAAGAAGGAGCTCAAAGACTTTGCTCCCAGTGGTGAGCATTTTATTGAAGGTGTTGTGCACAAGTGTCCTTGAGCAGAAAAGCAGAGATAAGCCTCTGACATACGAACGCAGCCGTCAGGCTGTGCGGTGTGCTGACAACTCCTGTCCCATTTTAACTCATCAGTGTTGATGCACGAGTAAAGCAAGGTCAACACTGGGTTTATGAATGGCAATATGCAACTGCTTGGGATCTCTTTTTTTTTTTTTTTTTTTTTTTAAATCTGTAAAAACAAAGGCATTGAAGTCAACTTAAGTTTTGCTTCAAGATTGCAACATTCTGTGACACCATCTCTCAGAGTGTCAAGACTCCCTGTTGCTTTTGGAGAAGCATATAGAGATGTTGATGGCATCCACCTCATATAAACCTGGGTCCCATCCTTTATTGGCTTGAATAGTGGAGAAATCCATAATTAACTCCAGCTCTTAGCTGGGGGGCACATTAAAATTTTGTTATTTTCTTTCCTTTCTTTCTTTCTCCTGTGGGTAATCTGAAAGTGCATAAATTAGAGGAATAATATAAAATATGACCAGTAAACGATCACTGGGTTATTCAATATTCTTTTTCAGTTTCTGCTTTCTATTTTCTGTCAATCATATACCATAATAGGCTATTTGTCACCACAGCTATCTGTATACATAAAAGATAAGTAGGCACTGAATATATGCTTTTAACAATGTTCTAAGCATTGCCAGTGATATATGATTTTCTTTTATCTCTTCTGTATGTCTCTGTATCAGGGGAGTGTCATTGGGTGTATCCCAGTGGAACAGAAGGATTTTAATCAACTGCTGAGAAAATGAGATATTACACTGGAACAAGAATAGCTGCTTGATAGAAACTCCTCTTTAAAAGTATAATTCTTCAGTGTTCGGGTTTTGTTGCCATTGTCAAGTACTGAATAAAAATGACATTAAAAAAATACCCAACTTTGGGTATTTTTCTCAGAACATAAAAGACAAGATTCATACCAGCAAACAAGAGGCTTCTTGATGCATTCCCTGAGCTTCAAATAGGAATGAGTACACTAAAAGCATTATGAGTTATAACCATGTAAACTGAGTGTGAGCAAGACCTGATGTACAGAAAAAAAAAGATGATTTATGTTGCTAGCATTTACATCGTTAGGGTTTAGAAAGAAACTGGAATGAGTTCAGGTATGTCCCAGTTTTCAAGCATCAGAGTTAATGTCAGGCATGCACCCAGCCATGCCTCTTGCATGGGACACAAAGCACCATGTCTGGTTGTATCCATAATGCCTATACCTCAGTATGTCATTAAGACAGAACTGTGCTCAGCATCCCTTGGGTCAGCTTTCTAAACATATTTAGGCTCTTTACGATGTAGGCATCAGACTTTTGCTATTTATAAGCACTATGTCCCTTT